AAAGGTAAACCTCTGAAAGAGGGAATTTAAAAGCATTTTAAAATGCAACATTTAGATAAAACAAATAAACAAATAAATAAGTGGTTATAATAGAAAAATAAAAATAAAACAAAATATGGGATAATCTGAAATATTCTCTTCCATTTTTTTAAATTTGAACAACAGAAGCTGTTACCTGTCCTACCTTACTCCTAAACACTGAAACCCAGAAAGAAAAAACAAGGGACAAAAAAACCAAACCATTTTACACTCCTACAAAATTACACATATTTATATTTCAAAGAATCATTGCATTCTAATTATTCACAGTACTGCTATGACTTTTCACTCTACTTTGAATTTCTTCCCCTTAATAGCAAGTCTCCTTGCTTTCTCTTTTAATGTAGCAATACTACAGAATCTAAAAGAAGAAAGGTAAAGAAAGAGAGAAAGAAGGATAGACTGAGAGTGAAAAGCCTGACAACTGTGTAACAAACAAGAACATAGTAGAAAAAAAATGTATTGTACTGAAGCTGAAAATTCTTTTTGAAAAATGTCAGAAGACCAGGTAGATTATTAAGCAATACAGTAAGATAATTATTTGTTTGCCTTGTTTGTACAATATTAACTACCTAATTTGTAAGGCATGGTGATAGAATTTAAATGCTAATAAAATCTTAACTGAGCTGATGTAATCACAACAAAACAGATTTTATATGAGTACATATCCTGTGTGGAAGGAACAAAATACCCAGCAGGACCAGAACCCTGGACTTCCACAGGGCAAACTTTGGTCTCCTCAATCATCTATTAAGGGAAATCCCATGGGACAGGGTGCTAGAAAATAAAGGAGCTCAAGATAGCTGGTCAACATTCAAGGACCACTTCTTGCAAGCACAGGATCAGAGTGTCCCAATGGTTAGGAAATCTAGTAAGGGTGCTAGGAGACCTGCATGGTTAAAGAAGGAACTACTGGGCAAACTTAAGTGGAAAAGGAAAATCTATAGATCATGGAAGGAGGGGCTGGTCACTTGGGAGGAATATAGGACTGTTGTCAGAGGATGTAGGGAGGCAATTAGGAAAGCTAAGGCCTCCTTGGAACTTAACCTTGCAAGTCAGGTTAAGGATAATAGAAAGGGCTTTTTCAAGTACATAGCTAGCAAAACTAGCAATAGAGGCAATATTGGCCCATTGAGGAATGAGGTGGGAGCCCTGGTGACAGAGGATATAAAGAAGGCAGAGGTGCTGAATGCCTTCTTTGCCTCTGTCTTCACTCCTGCAGGGTCTCCCTATGAGCCCCAGATTCATATAGCCCCAGAAGAAGTCAAGATAGAGGAAGAGTTTGACATGGTAGATGAGGATTGGGTTAGGGATCAGTTGAGTAATCTGGACATCCATAAATCAATGGGTCCAGATGGAATGCACCCAAGGGTGCTGAGGGAGCTGGCGGAGGTCATTGCTAGGCCACTCTCCATCATCTTCAGTAAATCATGGGCAACAGGTGAGGTGCCTGAGGACTGGAGGATAGCAAATGTCACTCCAGTCTACAAGAAGGGCAAGAAGGAGGACCCGGGTAACTATAGACCGGTCAGCCTCACCTCCATCCCTGGAAAGGTGATGGAACAACTTGTTCTTGTCACTATCTCCAGGCACATCAAGGACATGGGGGTCATCAAGAGCAGTCAGCATGGTTTTATCAAGGGTAAATCATGTTTGACTAACCTCATAGCCTTCTATGAGGAAATTACTAGGTGGATAGATGATGGTAGAGCGGTAGATGTGGTTTATCTTGATTTCAGTAAAGCATTTGACACCGTCTCCCACAGCATCCTTGTGGATAAGTTGATCAGGTATGGGTTTGGTGACCAGGAAGTGAGGTGGATTAGGAACTGGTTGAAAGGAAGGAGTCAGAGAGTTGTAGTCAATGGGGTAGAATCTGGTTGGAGGTGTGTTACTAGTGGAGTCCCACAAGGGTCGGTGCTGGGACCGGTGTTGTTCAACATCTTCATCAACGACCTGGATGAGGGTATAGAATGTACCCTCAGCAAGTTTGCTGATGACACTAAGCTGGGAGGAGTGGCTGACACACCAGAAGGCTGTGCTGCCATTCAGAGAGACTTAGATAGGTTGGAGAGTTGGGCGGGGAGAAACATGATGAAATTCAACAAGGGGAAGTGCAGAGTTTTACATTTGGGGAAGAACAACACCATGTCCCAGTACAGGTTGGGGGCTGAACTGCTGGAGAGTAGTGTAGGTGAAAGAGACCTGGGGGTCCTGGTAGACAGGAGGATGACCATGAGCCAGCAATGTGCCCTTGTGGCCAAGAAGGCCAATGGCATCCTGGGGTGCATTAGAAAGGGTGTGGTTAGTAGGTCAAGAGAGGTTCTCCTCCCCCTCTATTCTGCATTGGTGAGGCCACATCTGGAGTATTGTGTCCAGTTCTGGGCCCCTCAGTTCAAAAAGGACAGGGAACTGCTCGAAAGAGTCCAGCGCAGAGCTACGAAGATGATTAGGGGAGTGGAACATCTCCCTGATGAGGAAAGGCTGAGGGAGCTGGGTCTCTTTAGCTTGGAGAAAAGGAGACTGAGGGGTGACCTCATCAATGTTTACAAATATGTAAGGGGTGAGTGTCAGGGGGACGGAGTTAGGCTTTTCTCAGTGGTGACCAGTGATAGGACAAGGGGTAATGGGTGTAAATTGGAGCATAGGAGGTTCAAGGTGAATATCCGAAAAAATTTTTTTACTGTGAGAGTGACAGAGCACTGGAACAGACTGCCCAGGGAGGTTGTGGAGTCTCCCTCACTGGAGACATTCCAAACCCACCTGGATGAGTTCCTGTGTGATGTACTCTAGGTGACCCTGCTCTGGCAGGGGGGTTGGACTAGATGATCTCTCGAGGTCCCTTCCAGCCCCTAAGATTCTATGATTCTATGAATTTCCCATAAACATATTGAAGTCTCCCAGAAATCTGGAAATAACTGAACTACACAAGGGGCTAATTTATCAGCATCTCCACTTCCCAGCACCTCACTGAATGTGCCTTTTGGATACTTAAGACTCTTTGCCACACACGGTAGGTGCCAGGCATGGTGGGAGAGGGAGGAACCCTGCTCCAGGTGCCTGCTTGACCTCATTCTCAGAAGCTGCACTTCAAACAGCAAAATATTATTTAGCTATCCTAGGCATCATTTGGATAGAGGGGATGCCCACCAGCTAGACCACCAGAGCAGCAGGTTTGCCACTGCTTGGGGAAGAGGGGATGGAACACAGTTCTCCAGTCACCTTTGTTCCTATGATGCAAAGCTTCATGAGGTGCAACTGTGCAGGAAGCAGAAATTCTTCAGGGATAGGGCAAGACTCAGAAAAAGGCAAGGAAAGCAGCAGGTTTGTCGGTGATCCCTGCAGAAATTTACCAAATTGACCTTTTCATAAGGGCAAACTAGCAACCATTGATGTCAATTAAGTGCTCTCCCTTCTTTGCTCTGCTAGGGATTGCTGCAGGTGATATTTTTTTAATGAATGCATTGTTTCAGTGAAAGCAGTGAGGGATCAGAGTCAGAGTGCTTTCTACTCCCATTTCTCACATTGTTTTAAAGATTATTACATTGATTGAAGTTAGGAAACTTGTGCTTGTTTGTTTATTGCACGCGTGTTAAGTCTGCAGTTATCTCTTGCTATTTTGTGGAACAAAAGCAAGCTACAATACAGCTGCACCCAGCATCCATGTTATGGTTTTATCAATCAGCACAAAAGCAATGGGGAGTGTTCTCAAACCAGATTTTATTTTAGAGAACCCGACTACTTGATTAATCTAGTTTCTGCATCTTGGTTTCTTAAGCACACTAAACATAACTTTTAGCACTGTTTTGGATTTGTGAATACACATTACAACTGTATAAGGAAAACCTATTTTTATACTCTCTCTGATCTGGCCACATTTGCTTAATTGAGACACTACCAAAGACCAAGTCATACTAAAAACATTTTTCAAGTTTGTATTTTCAATTATGTTGAAATTCCCATAGAGCTACAACGTAATCTGATCCAGTCTGCTCAGCCAGTCAGCAATAAACATAACTCAAGTCCAGCTCACTCGACTCCAGCAGTCCCTAGGAGGTTACATAAAGACACTGATCTTTCAGAAAAAAATACCAAGGCATCAACACTGAGATGTTATTTTCTCACAAATGTAATTATTTATGTATTTAGTTTGCTGGTGTTTTTTTAAATGAAACAAATAGCAAACTGCTCCAGATTAAAGTCTGCCCACCCTACCAATTTCCTTTAAAATCAGCAGGGAGCTGTGGGTTAAAGTTCTGTCTTGTTTCCTAATAAGCAGACTCATAAAGACAGACACCAAGAACCACAGAATAAAGACTTCAAAAAAGAACTGGAAAGGCAGATTCTAGCTATTGAAATAGATATAAACATGAATGCTAGCACCACTAAGGAACTGTATGGAAAACAGAGTCAAACTTATCACAGGAAAAAACTCAAAACCATCCAATTTGACAAATGAGTTTCTTTCTACTTAATTCAATTAAGAGATTAAGCACAGACGATTTAGAGAATGAGCATATGTAGATATACATAGAAATATACTGGAATCTTCCAGGGAAGACTCTATTTTTTAAAAGGTATCTGTCAGTTCCAGTGCAATTTATGGGATTCCTGTATGAATTGATGGATGAAATTGTTAAATATTTTCATGCCGGAATAGGATTATATGCAATTGTTCCAGGCCAGCCTCAATGTGCTATTCCACAGAGCACTATTTTGATGCACAAAATTGTCAAGAAGATTTAATCAGTGGCCCAAAATTTCCATTTAACTGTAAAACAACATGAAGAGTTTCAGAGCTAACACCTTGAGCAACTTTTCTGGTGGTTACGTAATTTGACAGCACTGAGTTCTCTGCCCTTTCTGAGCCCACCTAATTAAGCCTCCATGCATAGCAAATAAAAGTTAAAGGAGATTCATAGTAAGAGAGAAAGAAAATTGTACTTCTGTGTTTACTGTACCTGCAGTAAGACAGTACCCCCTGGGATTGTGAGTTGTAAACAGTACTTAGGGGCATTCTCCCAGGACAGCAGTTGAACATCTTCAATAGCACTGTAGGAAATTGAGTTTTCCATGTACCCAGCTGGCTGCAAGAAAACATAAGAGAGGGGGGGATATGTTTACTTAATCATCAAAAGTTTCACAATTTCAAAGTAACAACAGTACTACCAAAATTACTCTTGGTGTTGAAAATACCCATAAAATATCTCACTGGAAAGCAAAATTCTTATACAGGCTACTCCACAAAGAGATTCATCCAGCTACTTTCATCCAACTTGTTCAGGTGTTAAGATCACCCACACAGAACGAAAACAGGCCAGACCTAGTTGCCTAAGATACAAAAATGTCAAACTTCTTTTGTTCTGGACCTCAAATTAATGAAACCTAATCTTGAGTTGAACTGAGCTATTACAGGGTCTGGCCATGCACGTGCTACCAACATATGAAGCAGCGCCTCAGTCATACAGGCAGAACAGCAGTGCACTATTTGAAGGCAATTTTATTCCATGCACTCTTGTTCATCTCCCTGGCTGCAAGGTTGATCAAGTACATCATCAAAATCCAGACTGCTACATTTGACAGTGGTTCATGGGGCTCCAAAGATTCAGCCCTCCTCAGCTTTTAGACTCAAGTAAAAGCAGAGCAACCAACCTACCCATCTAAGCCTATACATAAGTACTGGTTTCCTGCACAGACTGCAGATGCTCACTTTAAAGTGAAAATCACAATTAAAACAAACAATTCACTGCACTTGGCAATTACACGTACAACATAAATTGGTAGTAGCAAGGAAACCAAGTTAAACATGAAACATATTCTTAGTATCCCCATAATTCTCAGGCATTACAGAAGTACAACTAACTCTGAGATAAGCTGAAGTATAAATGTATATACACAAGCACATATAAAATTATGTCCTAAACATAAGTAAATACACAGAGATATAGCTGTGTATCTATTGAGTACACGTACATACACTGTACTTGATGCAAGCCTTTATGTTGTTTAAGTTGAGTATTTAACAGAGGTCCTCAAAGACGTCAGTTATTTTGCTTTGCTATAGCCCTAAGTAAACTATCAGTATTGCTATGGCAGAGAAACTATTTTCATACAAAAATGCTGATCAATCCCACCACATGGATAAACCCTTGAGTTAGCCATGTCTTGCAAGAGAATAGAGCTCATTACGTTTATTTGTTTTTTTTCACTATTACTGGTTTACATATAACTTAAACTTTTCAAACTTCCTCCCACTGTGCCCAAGACCTAAGTTATTTTTAACTGGCAGCCTTGAAATAAAGGAGGCAAGGAAGAAACCACATCTATTTCAGGGTCAAACAGGGCCAGCTCTTAAAATCACAACTTGGGATTCCTGGGGGCGAGTGTGAAATAAGCAAATTACATTTGGAACGTCTCTACTTCTTATTGGTAGGACTGTCTTCCATAAGTTAAGTAGGTGGTGCATCTGGAAATTTTACTTTGAAGTTACACACTTCATACATGTTCATAAGGCCATAAACATCATCTGCCAACACACAGTGATGAACCTGTCCTCCACCTTTGCTGCTACAGCCACTTGCCTTTTCAGCAAGAACAACACAGCAACACAGGAAACTGAACTTTATATTGTTCAGTACCATTTGTTGTGGCAGTGTTCATTTTACCCTAGCCCTCACTGAAAACAATTTTCGCTGTCTCTTTAACAAAAACCTTGTTGTGCAGGAAGTATGATAAACTTCTGCTTATTCATTTACCCACAATATTGTTCTACACTAGTGACTGGAATCCCAGTGGCTTAACGCTGATACTGTACGTCATGCATTGCCTACTGGAGAGTAATTATCTTGTTCTCACAGGAAGCCAAAGGCCCAAGATCCTTTGGTAATCAGCATTACAACACTCAGGGAAAAATATGAAAACAGCCAGCATAAAATCTAGTATGCTCCAGCCAATGCAAATATAAAATGAAATTAATCAAAGCAATTTAAAATTTCTCTCTGAAGAAGGTGCTGACTGCCCTTAATACCTTCCATTAACTTCAAAGAGGATTTGAAGAATTCTCACAGAATCTGTTAAGAGGTCCCTTCCAACCTGGCACTCTATGCTTCTATACCTTAAACTGTCTATTTAAAAAGCATTAAAGACAACTGATCCTGTTCCATCACAGCTCTGTCCCCATACACTAGTCATTTCATCTCAAACATCACCTGTTCTCATAGTACTCTGCTGTGCAATCGAGAGAATCTAAAGCAAAGCGATTTATGACTGCATATCCCTGAAATTGTGTCTCTAGATGCTGTCAAACACTGAAAACCACCTACTTTTATTAGGGCTGTGCAGAAATGCTGTCCTGGGACCCGAGGCCTCACAAGGCAATGGTGCTCCTCACAGAGAGACCATGGCACTGAGAAGGTGAAGGTCAGCCCCACACAAAGGTGTCCTTTCCCTAATCCCTGCACACACACAGATGCCAGGACAGAGCAGTGTTCCCCAGTTGTGTTTTCACAAGACCAAGCACAGCTCAGCCGTTTATCAGGAAATGGCCTGAGGTAAAACCACAGCCTGAGTCACTGGTTCTTCTTAAAACACAGGCTATTTTGACTTTCAGGTATGCGAACGTCGATCACGTTGAATCATTGTAGTTGATAAATAAAGCAGTGCAAGTCTTGCACGTTTTCATGTTCCAGCTCCTCTTGCTTACACACATGCCCCGAAGCTGCATCTTCACCCCCAGAAGCTGCATCTTCACCCCCAGGTCACTCCAAGGGAAATTCAAATTAGAGCAACACACAAGACTGGAAATGCAGATTCAGAGATTTGAAAATACCTAAAATGAAACCAATCCTCAGCGAGACACCAGGAAGCACCAGGCATCAACCCCAGTTTCAAGCAGCATTCCTATCCCCATCCACCCACTTGCCTTTGCCCATACCAATCTTTGCCTGCCTATGGCATCAGGCAGACCAGGGAACCCATCCAGTTTTTGCCAGATTACTTTTAAGTTCCTTTGGCCCCATTTCAAACATGAAAGAAAAACCAGTATGTTAACATAACTTAGGGAACAGATAACATGGGGAAGGGACTGAGCAGTGAGGACCTGAATATTTCAGTCTAGTTATTGGTACGAGACAGTCTAAAACCACAGCATCTTTGAGCAGCAATATATCAAAAGTTCAGCTGAAAATGCCTTTATTTACAAAAATAGTAATTCTTAATTTTGTAGCTGTCATTTTTGAAAGGAGATTTATACTTCTTGGCAGTCTGAGATCTATCAAATGAAGCAAGATACTGAACTTTTCTCAGTCACTCTACAAAATTAACCCCAAGTTAGGAAACTTTGGCTAGAGAATCTACATACAATAGCTTGCTGATTTACAACTACAGTTTTAACTTCTGGCTGTTTGCTGTTGAACATGCTTTGAAAAATTGTTAAGACTCATAAATGAAAATGAAATTTATTACAACAAACAAAAACCCTAAGTGAAGGACACATTTTTCTCTTCATGTTAGCCTTTAGCCTCCTAACAAAACACGCAGCAGCTCCACTGGGAAAGCAGGTAGGCTCTAACCTCAGTGACAACTTTGTCTTTTGCAGTCCCATCAAGATTTATTAATCATACAGCTTTGAAACAACTTTCTACCAGAATAGCCACACACCAAAACTCACTATAAATCAAATCTCAGGGAAATCTAGTGCTCCCAAAACTGGAGGGTCATGCACAAGGCTAGTTATCTCTTCACATTTCTGGGAAAACTCAGCAGCAGCAGAATACTCAGTAATGCAAAAATCTGCCCACTTGTTTCCATGGAAAGAATAAACATGACGTCCATTGTTAATATGAGGCTCCTATGCACTTACTCATATAATAATGTGCAAAATCTTCAGCTGTGTATTTTTCCAAAGAAAGCGTCTAGAAAAGATGAATTCTACAAATAGAGATGGTGGTTATTTGCATTAAAACATATTTAGACTGACAACTCCCACGACCACAACAACAATGAAGAATGATTTTCCCAATTAAATACTCCAGATGGTGGGGGGAAACAGGGCTATTCCAGACCCTTGCTCTTTCACTGTCAGGTGCTTATTTCTCTCTTGGCTGCTCTGAAGAATGAGCCATGCTGCTGTAAGCCCAGGATGATGAGCATAATGTATTCCATATAAGTTTTCCACACTCAAAGTAAGATTCAGTCAATAATGTAAAGGAAGAGTTGATTGCTCTTAAAACTTTGATGGGGGTGGAGACTATTTAGTTGGCACACTGAAGGGTAATGGACTCTGAAATTGCTGAAAACAATGGACAATTTGAAATAAATCTCTGGTAGGAGACATCCAGGGCTCCAGAGAACACCCCTGCAAATGTAGCTATTGCAGATAAGGGCAATTACCATTTTTGTTCATTAACTATTTAACCTATCAGAAGGCATTTATCAAGTTAGGCAATTAGTAGTACTACATCACAATAGGCAGCTCAGTACAATATGCCTCACTCTTGATATGAAAGAATTTACAGCCATGGTCACCTGCCATAATGACTTAAAATAGTTTAAAGTCAATGTTAATCTGACAGAGATTAACATGATAAGAAAACAGACAGAAAGACTAACAGTGGGGAGATACTCAACTCTGCCTCAAAACTGCACTAGGGAATTTCTGAGCTTCCTTGGAACAACATTCCCATATAATCCATCACACTTCCCAGAATCCAAGCCTGCCCATCATCATCCTTCCCTTCCCACGCCTCCTGGTAACTAGAAGGTTTCATGTGTTGGACTATGAGACATCACTTGTGCTGTGCATGAGGAGTAGGGCTACTTTAGGTGAAAAGGGTGCTTAATCCAGAGACCCATGGGGAAGAGAACTCTCAGTGGAGTGAATCTAAATTATTTCCCTCTGCATCTGTTTCGTTCCTAAGTGTCTCCAAGACTGTTTGCTTGCTTTTGGAGCTTTTTTGATACATGGAAACAAATTTGGACAAAACAGCCCAAATTTTCAGTGAGGCTCTACACATCCATGTCAAGTTAAGCCTAGAGTGTTCTAGTGTAAAATTAATGGAAAGGAAAAAGAGGGAGGAGTTTT